GTTGAAACGTATCTTACTTTAAAGGATATGTAGAAAATATTTATAAAGATAAATAAATTCTCTTCTTTAAATATTTCTCTGATTAGCAGATATACTTATTTATCTATTTATGATAATTTAAAATGATCATAATGTAAAATAATGTCCTTATATTTCGTCTACCTATTGTACTATTCATAGAATGTATTGTGTCTTTTGTACAATTTTCATAATTCTTATTGTTAGATAAAAGTTCTTGCCTCTGACAGAAGATTTAATATTATTATTAGCACCACTAAAGAATTAAAAAATCAATATATACTAATAGAAACACCATAACAAGAAAGAATTCTTAATACTACTGTAATGTTAATCATCCAGTGATGATGGTACGTAACAAGAATATCTTTTATTAAAATATTATCAAGATCAAAATGCATCCTATATCGTATCAATATCAATACATATATATTATAGATATCATATCGTTAATGCATCTATAAGGAATATCTATATTTGATGTATTAAGATACTATGTGAACATAAATACATACAATAATGACAAATGCAGAATACTGATGAAACGTTAGATCACATTTCAAAGTTCAGTCATATCGAATGCAACTGCAAAGAGTTAAGCGCAATCATATTTCTCATCTTGTAATACAAGAAAATTTTGAAGCACTTAAATCATTGGATAGACAGAAAGAATCAAATCAACAAATTTTCACTGTAAATTCATGAACTGAAGAGAAGAAATATTCTTGACAATAAGATAACAAAAAAAAAAACTGAAAAGAGTATAAAAATTAAACGTGACCGAATTTCATGTAACGAGATGATACACGTGATACGGAATACGAAAGCATGATCGTTACGTGTTTAAATCACTTAATGAAATTAAAGCAAAAGAACAGGCTTTGCTTTGAGTGAAGATATCCAACTGAACCTCATGTGTCTCACGTTGCCTCACGTTGGCCACAATTGCGATCACACGTCTCACATCACGTTGATCTGCACGACTGACACTGTGGCATGCTAGTGAACAGGAAAAGACAAATATCTCGTGTATCGCCACGAGTTCATGAAAACATCAAACAATTTTTTCTTTACCAAACCTACCACGATTTTGCAAACTAAAATCTCCCCTTTACAACGACCTCTTACTGAACTTTATTGGACATTAGGATTAAGTGACAAAATGTTAGGATTTTGATTTTGAATTTTTGTCGTTTAATTCTCACGTGTTTAAGCTTCAATAAAATGGCGAAAAGAAATCGCACAGCAAGAGACTGATATAAAGGAAAGACTTCAATCTAATCGTAAAAACAATTTTTCAGTAATTTAAATTTTTACAATTTTTGTCAACAAAAGTACTCTTGCTTTCTCAGCTGCATGATATAAAAACATCTTTGGGGAAAAAGAACTCAAGGCTGGTAAAGTGAGATTTCACGCTTTAAAATGAGATCAACTGGATTGTTGTACGATTTTGTTTCACGAAGATTAAACAGTTTAAAATATCGACAATTTATCATCGATCTGTATGTGTATAATAACATAAATGTATGAACTCCGAAGAATTCGTAACCAACTGTAAATCGTTTGTTATTCAACAAATATATACATATATATTTAATAATATTAAATAATTAAATAATTAATATTATTTAATAATATATTAATAATATAATTAAAATATTAAATAATTAATATTATTTAATAATTATTAGATACAAACAATTTACAGAATATTTATTTATTAAAAATAGTATGGCATGAAAAACTTGAATATAGTATGGTATAAAATTTGTTTAAAACAATAAATTTGAATCATAAACCTTATTTAAAATTAAACACCGGGACTAACCTACATATAGCTATAAAATTTTTATGCACGTACACATGTACATTTTATGTGGATGCAAGCCAATTTTAAATTAGAAAATATTCAAATATAATCTTAATCGTGAAGGAAAGAAATAAAAATAATACTTTTTGGCTGAATTGGTGACTCGTTGCATTTAATAAAATGAACTCTCATACGTAACATTCGCAGAATCTTGATTCCGTCTATTAGTCTTAATTATAATTACATTGTTTAAACTAACTCTGACGTGAACAATTTATTCTTCGTGATACTAACAGGAAATTAACAGTACACGTGTCTTCAAAGCAAGTGACTCAATGCCAGCCAATGATTTAACACAATGATGGGTATTAATATCAATGCTCGATAGACACGTTATAGTTTTAACATCGTAATAGAGAATTTTGCTATTATTATTCGAAAACAATATAGAAAAATGTAAATATTTTCATTTTCTTCTTGACTATTAACAAATAATATTTTATAGGGATTGTTACATAACAGTGACAGTGACAATAATAACTAACATGTAATTATGCGTGTATACAAAATTTCTTTTTTTTTTTTAGTTCCAATTCAATAAACGAATCGGTTAACTAGCTTACATTGTACTTAAGTTTAATTAAGTTACATTGTGCTTCTTACACAATTACACAGTATATTATTAGCGCAATTTTGCAAGTTTGAAGTTTAGCGTTGATAATTTTTTTACACAGTAACTGCATTTAGTAAAGTCGTACAAACAATTTATGCAATATTAGTATTATCAGTCAGTAAATTATCGTGCAAATAAATTAATTAAGGAGTATCGATAGAACATCCTTTTCTCTTATTAAATCGATAAAAATCAACCTATGACAAAATAATACGTAACACGATCAACACCGTGATACAAAATCTGCAAGCACACGTATTACACGTGTTCTGACGGAAGTAACACTGCGTACTCGTTTCGATGCATTAGCAGATCTTGTTGACTAAGAATGCCGTCGGCCTGATTGCACGTGCAAAAAATTTTCGAGCAATATTTTACATTCTCTGCGATAGAGATGAGGGATGTATTGTAATATCCGACAAGCAAAATGTTTGGTCCAAATTTATCATTTCAAGGAGTATTTTGAACATTATATTATAGTACACCCAAAATGAATAAGAAAATTGGATAAACTAAATCGTAATAAAGATGTATAATGAAAATAAATGAAAATAATAAAATTAAGTAGAATAAAAACAATTGAATATCTTTAAATTATTATGTTTCTAATAACTATATACCAGTGAAGGATTAAACATACTGATACCTATTCAAACTACAAGAATTTTCATTACTGGTATGCAGAAAAATAATGAATGAACCTCGTATAAAAATTCGAATGCGTCAAATAACACATCAGACAACAAATACTCGGTGAAACTAGAATTTATAGTCAATTTACACATTCATTTTTATACGAACTCGACTTAGGTGACAATCGAAACTTTACACTTTCAGCTATCAACTTCTACACATTATCCGATATTCGTGCCTCTATTTAAAACAAAATTTCGTCAGTTGTTTTTGATATTCGAGTTTCGTTGAACTCGAAACGGACACGTGTCGCCTGCAAGAAGAAACTTAAAGGAAAGAAATTGAGGAGGTCGGTAGAACATGTCAGGATTGAAATTCTCGCTGACCTTCGCGTAAGTACCCATTCCAGCCCTCGTTACAATCCACGTATAAATGTCGTCCACGTGTGATTATGTATATATCAGCACACGTTTTACAAGTTCGAGGCTAAAAGAAGTAAGTGAAATCAAGACCTAAGTGAAATCAAGCGTGGGCTTTGCTTTTCAAGACAGCTCGGATCCGATGCAAAAATTGAGACGACACGGGTTTAAGTTTAGAGCAGAATTGTGCGGTTCGTCAATCGATTCGCGCAATTAAACGAAATGGCTAGCTCGATAAAAATGCACGATTGTTTGATAACCTTGGTTTAAAATTTTTCTAAAGAAACAGTGAGTTTTTTTCTAAAGAAGAAGGTGATAATTTTTTCGTGTGATTCGTATAACAATAGTGGATTTAAATTTGAAGATTTAGAAAGGTTAATATTACAAGAACAAAAAATATGCATAAGTAACAGATATCAAATATATTGTGTGACACATGTTAAGTACCTATTTTGAAGTAGAAGCTACTTATGAAATAACTATAATTGATATTAAGTTATACAGAATCAGCATTTTGAACAGATCAGCAACTCTTGCAATAGCTATTGAAAATTATTTTTACAAATATTTACAAATTGTATACGATAAACTAAATTTGACACGTTTACTGCTTGACGCCTTTGAATACATTGGCAAATGATTGAATTGGCAAGTATTATTTTATAATAGAGAAATTTAAATACATACTTAAATCACACGTGGTGATATCAGCATACCATATTTACTATTGCATACACGGAGTGTATGTTCTTGTGAATATTCTTGTTGTAATTTTGTTACAACATGGCATCAGAATCAAGAATGTCAAGTTTTTATAATAATATTACAAGTTCTTATAGTAATATTACGTTTATAGAGCTCTATTAAAAGTACAACTGTTTTTTTTATTTTTTTTTTCTTGTACCAATAATTCAAAAACTGCAAATTTTCAGTTATGTCATTATTGTAGCAAACTGAATTGATTCTGCGATATACAGACGATCTACACATATCAACCTAAAATATCAATTTCAAAGAATTAATTTAATTAGTTCATCTAGTGACATCATTTATATATTACTTTCCTATATTAACAATTCATAATCGAATTAGTACGAAGCTATATAACTACGGGGTTATCTTTGGTTGATTAATTATATAAAATTATATGTAAAAGTATATAGTGCATTAAAAGAATAACATACTATATGTATCCTTTTTTTTAATAGGTATAATTTATGCTACTGATAAACTACAATAAAATGTAAGTAATAGTAATTTCTTGTCGACAATTGTAACGCGTATTATTACATTATAATTTAAAATATAGGTTTTACTTTAGAAAGTTTAAGATTTCTTTCCATCAGATACAAATAATAATAATGGTTACCAAGAAATATTATCGAAATATGCAACACTTATGCCAGTCAAATTTGATAACATAAATATTTTAAATAATATAACTCACCGATATTTACAGTATATTTTGCAGGATGTGGTCCCAGGGATTTTAAAACAAATTCAAACAGTGGGCAGGATTCGCTGTCTTCGTTTTCTTTGTCAATTATCTTGGAATCGAATGTTCAAACGGCGGCTAGTTCAGATCACACTTTCGCAGTGTGACAATCGAATTTATCCGGCAACAGACACGTTTCCGACCGGTAACAAACTTTCAAATGTCATCAACGCGTGTAGCAAGACCTTACAATCGACACACGCGAATCATTCGTATTTACCGATCAAGACAGCGAATACTGAATCGTTTCATAACGAGAACAAACGACGATAGTACGGACTGTTTGTGACGTTTCTTTTCTTTTCAATCCCGATCACCTTTCATTCTGAACAAATCGAAAGAAACGATCCAAACCTACCGGCGTCGGTACATCGACTAACGGCGATCGAGTACCGCCATGTTATCCCCCCTCTCGCGATTGTGAGCAACACGGTCGCGCGTGCGCAAATGCACGATTCTCATGCACGCGCCTCGAGCTTCGATATTACGACAATCTCGATAACAAAAGCCGCGGCACGTGCATCCCCACTTCGAATGGGGATCTCCCGAAAGGTTCCGCGGGAAAGCAAAGCAGGACGCGCGCGTGCTTCATAGAATTTGTCGTTTCACACGGCTTCGAGGTGTCAAAACACAAGCCCTCCTTCGGAGCCGACTGAAAGGAGCATCGACACCGAAATAAAGGAAAGTATTCCGGGCATGTCTTCTTAACCTGTAAATATGCGAAGACTCATCCAGACATGGGCAATTAATCTTGGCTGAAGTTGTAGGAGAACTAATTCCTCTTCGATTTTAATGATTTTTGTATATGTTGCGGCATTTTAAACGACGTTCTCTCGTATACATACAGGCAATTGGGCATATTCGAGATATTCCGAGATATTCGTAAAAACTATCGATACTAGTGCTAGATTAAATCTTGCCTATCTGTAAGAGTCGTAAGTATAATCGATACCTGAATCGCCAAATTTGAACGTCATTTATATTATAATATCGATGATACACTCACTATAAACAAAAGGATTGAGAAATTGTGTCGGTTGTTCTGTAAAAACATCGCCTTTCCTCTGTTGAAGTATCTTGACTGGACAATGAGCGTTTTACACTCGGTAAGAATCAGTTTAATACTCTCTTGTTTAATCAAACATATATTAAACAATGTATCGCATTGTTAGAGTATTTTGTTTTCCATATGCAATACGAGACACGACAAAGTGATGTTTTCGCCAAGCATGTTGGAACGAGTTAGAGCACGTATTTAATTGCATTAAAACGCATAGTTTCTATTTCGACGGAGAAAACTCGACATGCTACACGTGCCCTGTAAAACGCCTGTATAACCCTGGCCTAATACTAACACATACTAGCACATACAGACGCACTACAATTATAGGCAGAATTCACTATAGTGGTACCGGCAGCTTTTTACGAATATCTCGGGAACTAAGCTCGGCAAAGAAATATTGTTTAAAATATTAATTTCTAACGTATTCGAAAACCATCGAAATTGTTCTTCCACAGGTTTGTCTTAATCTTGATATAGAAATTAATTTTCATAGTAGAAAAATAAATTTATTTTTAGAAATATTTTTAGAAATATTCATCTTAAAAAAAGGAGACAAAAGGATTCAATTTCTAGAATTTTATTGTTAATATTTTTAGTTCGTATCTATAGTATTTGTTATAAGTTACTATAAGTTATTATATTCTAGTAGTAAATGCTCTTACATATATTCAAGAGAGGAAGAAAGGAAGAGAGAAAGAAAGAAAAAGAATATATCTAATACATAATATATTTCTGTGATATATATATAGGCTTAACAATGCATAGATATGATAGATATTTTTTTTTTTTTACGGTTCCAGTAACGTTACGTTGTAATAATCGTTCCCCTTGATCCTACAAGTCGTTACTAGATGATGTCTAAATCAAATGCGAAATCTATGTCAACGCAACCGGAGGATTAAAATTTCTCTAACTACACGTGGTCTTTGTTACGAGCATCATATCGATTCAGTAACTTTGATAACATATCAAAATCATCAGTTTGTGGAATCCCATATTATCACCGCGATGTCTTTTCTTCCACATTGGATAATCAGCTATCGACACATTTTCCAATTATTTTCCAAATAATAATATTCAATTAACCGAACTAGGTAACTTAGCTGTCCTAAAAAGGAAAAAAAAAAGAAAGAAAATAAATTAATTTATGATATTACTGAATCGCAGAATTTTACTTATTTACTTTTTTCTTTATTATAATAAAATAAATAATTGAACGTTCAATTTTAAAGATTATCTTGCTTCAATAATCTCAGTAGAAGTGATTTGTTTTCAATTAGGAATTACGTATCTGTCGCGACATGTTGAGAATAAGATAGATCTCGTATCTTAGATATTCTTAGAAATATTATTAAGCCACTTTATTATTCTTGCAATAGAATTTAAAACCACACGTGTTCGTTTTGAAGTATTTGGCGTGTGTCTAATGTAGTCAAATGGCGTCACGGCATATTTTTCCATGACTGACGCTGCCAATAGTTCATAAGAAAGATCTCGTATGTCGTGAAAAGAACGGTAGAAATTAAAATAGCAGTTCTGTCTTGCTCTTCTTCATTTCTCTTCTATTTTACCTATCTTCCGTTTTCTTTCATTTTTATAGATGATATTTTAAAAACATCGATATATTACGTAACAAAAATTTCAATATTTATTTAAATGACCGAAATTCTATGATATCGTGTGGCCAAAAAGAAAGTACAAAAACTCTTCAACGAGCCAATTTTCTTTTAATTATAATACGTGCATCGTATACACCGATTTTAGCTGTACTTTGAATGTCGAACCCGTTCTTTGATTTATACTTTCACTTTATTTTCCAAATGTATGCTTCATTTCATACTAGAAATAATATTAATATAATATTTAAGTGTATATTTAATATAATATTTAATAATATACTGTAATATAATATTTAAATATATACTTTTAATGTCCAATAAATATGTAGTTGCCAAAATAAACACAAACATAAAAAAAACATCGCTTTATAATACTTTTTTTCTATGTAGCAAATATTTCTGTACCTTCCAGGAAAGGGAGAAACAAGGATCGCAATAATAATTCGATAGAGCGTATAAAAAGACATGTTTGAGAATGGAGAAAGAATATCGATGTATCGTGATTATAAGGAGAAAGATGGATAGAGGTCAGAGAAAGAAAGGGAAGGAAGTTGCACGTGTAACCAACTTCCCCACTCTCGTTCGGTTTCTCGACTGAAAGGAGCGTCCTTCAGCAATGTTCCCATCTTCCCATCCCTTTTGGTCCTCCGACCTTTTCCAACCATCACAATGTTACCTCTTTCCCTCCTTCGGTTGTGAGGATCAGCAACCAATCAGGGTCATTTGCAATCTCTCCACGTGGCTTGCACACTTAATCTCGGTGCATACTTGCATGCGTACAGTTATAAGCGAAATTATGTATGTGTGCAATACTTTGTAATCGTTTTTTCATTACTTATACATGGATTTAAAATGAATATAAATGATTAATTAATAAAATTATACATATAAATAATATAGAACATTTAAAGTAGACAATGAAGAGTCTCAAAATATATGAACCAAAAACACGTATTTCTCTAAAACTGTGAGGGATTTAAAGCAAAAGTAAGATTATCGCATTTATTGTTATTTAAATAATCGTATTCTGATGAACTATACTATTATTATATACTTTTTATTTTATAAGTAAATTGTTTGTTTTACTTACACATATTATATCACAACAATGCATCTTAAATTAAGTATGTAAGCATATACCTATATTAAACGTCATACAAATTTTACTGTTAGAGTTATCGATATAAAAATCATATAACAATTAAGCACAATTAAATGTGTACAGCTGCAAATAAAATTAATAATTATGAATCAAAAGAATGTTTGAAATATATATTTAAATATATATATTTGAAATATATAATGAAATATATTAGAAATATATACAATATTCTAATACATACAAATAACTTGTATTGTACTTATATATACATTATAACGAAACACAACGTTTGCTTAATGATTTCGGAATTATGGCAAAGATATAAAAATCATATATTACGATTTTAGCATTAAATAAAGAGTGGTGAGAATTAAAAACGGTGGAACTAATTTATATTGCTGTCCTTGTCACACGTTACAGTCCTCCTACCGCGCTATATGTCTACCGCGCCTATATGTCTCTCCTTGTCGCACACTATTGCTCTCCTTGTCTACCGCGTGAATATGTCTCTCCTTGTCGCACACTATTGCTCTCCTTGTCTACCTCGTGAATATGTCTTTCCTTGTCGCACACTATTGCTCACCTTATCTAATGACGCTAGACAAGGAAACATGCGAACAGTATGCGACAAGAACATCCTTCGGTTTATTGAAAAAAAATTCAATTTTTTACACACACGTTTTTCTAAGCCAAAATACACATAGAAAGAAAGCGGGGAGCCTAATTTTAAGGAGGCATATAAAAAAGTTCGCAAATTATTCTTCTTAATAAGGTTATAATTAGTTCGAACTGTCACAAAATGGACATGGTGGCGCCATCTAGCGGTAACTCAGTGGTACTATAAAAATAATTCTGCATTTCACGGATGGGATATGAAAAGAAAGCTAAGGGTCACAAAAGTTCACAATTCATTTCGCTGAATTAGGTTTTTTCGCAAATGAAAATTGAATTGAATTTATTGAAAAAACCGTTACATTTTTAGCCCATAGGTTTAATTGTTACATATTTAGAGTTTTAGTGTGTTGGGTCGGTGATTGGGTCTTTTTTTTGTGTTAGTTTGTGTGAGAGTTTTTGGTCATGTATGCGTGTGTAATCTAGGAAGGGGTGTCTAATATGGTTGTTTCGAATAGGTTGTGTGTGTTTTTTGTGGGATATTTCGTGTTCGAGTGTCCGTTATATAGATATGTTGCGTTGGCGAAGAAATGCGCTGATTGTGAAGATGTCTCTGAGTTTTGGATTGGCGATGATGCAGTCTATTGTTAGAGGCATTTTGTTGAAGGCGGTTGGTCATGGTGTTTCTCTTTCCTCGTTCGTAGAGATGCACTGCCAGAGTATGTGGTGAAGGGTTTGAAAAGTAACTATAGTATTTAGTGCGAGGATGAAGGAAGGATGTAGGATTTGGAACGAATGTCGGATTTGTGAAGATAATGGGGTAGTGTGAGGAAAGGTTGTGCGTTTCGTCTCAGAGTCGCTGCCTAGACTTATCAGTGGGACTGATATCAGTGGGGTCCTTATCCCAGATGCTTGTTGTTATAACTACTCGCAAAGGTTGGACGGTCATCCATCCTAGCGGTGTTCCGCACTCTG